CCGACGGAAACCATATTCTACGTAACCAAGAAACAGCTGGTTGCTGGGTGAAGAGTGGAAAGCAGGGCAGAGTAGAGATTTGGGGGTTGGAAAGATAGGAGATTAAGAGGCCCATAACTCCTAGGCAGAAGAGAGGGGGGTCAGTTAGTCTTGCCCCCACTCCCCCTGACTTCTAGTCTCATTTCTTGCTGGATTTTGATTTTAATTTCTCTCATCCGTATCTTGATAGCGTCTCGTTTTTTCACTTTTTTCCTAGCTTTGACTTTTTTATCCTCCTACTTTCTCTTGCAAGCCTTTAGGAATTTACCGCAATATCCTGGGGTTTTTTTTCCCCGTTAGGATTGTAATTTTGCTCTCTAGTCCACATCATCTCTATGGTACAGAGTATAAATGTATTTGCTGTCTGGTTTTGTGATTGTCTTTTGCGTGTGATCTGCCGCTGTTGTTTCTTCTCATTAGGGTCCCCAAAGGAAAAAAAAAAGTCATGGCTTTAAAAAAAAAAAAAGTAAGGGGGAAAGAAAAAAATGATGCTGGTTAAAATAGAAAATTTAAGAACTCATGGTTAAGATCTTAATTCTAAAGTTTAGAATTAAGTCCGATTTTATTTAGGTTTCTGGACCTATATTGTTAATTTGGTTTTTATATCAGTGAAGAGTCTTTTTCTCTGCACTGTCACTTATTAAAGTTCTCATATTCGTCTATTGGGTCATTCATCTTTATAAACTGCAATAACAATTTCTTTTAATTGTAGGAAAAAAGGATTGCCTATTATCGATATCAGTGGAGTATGTTGGAAAGAGATAAGCGTGTCTCTGGAGCTAATCGTTACTATGTGTCAAAGGTAAGAAGGCTCTGATGATAGCCATCTGGCAGGGTTGAGGTGGGTTCTGGTTAATGTTTTGCCAAAAGTCATACAGTGCTAATTTAATTTGCATTTTCTTGTGTACTAGTGAGGTTGAGGAGCCTTTTATGTATTTAATGATCGCTTGCATTTCTTACACTGTGGATTGTTTGCCTGTATCCTTTGCTTCTGTTGTCTTTTTGATTTATAGGGGTTCTTAATATATTATGGATGTTAAATTTTTGTCAATTTCATATGTAACTAATATTTTTCCCAGTCTGCTGTCTTTTTTACTTTATGATGTCTTTCATCAGATTGTTTTTAATTTTGATGTTCAGTTCATCATATTTTATCGTTTTGGATTTTGGGTTTTGTATCTTGCTTACAAATGCTTTCCTATCCAAGATTCCAAAAATATATTCTTACAATTTATCCAAATACCATTATAGTCTTTTTTCTTTTTTTACATTTAGTGTTTTGACCTCTCTACAGGTCATTTTGGGGTATAATATGAAGCAAGGGTTTAACTATAGTTTTTTCCAAGAAATAGCCAGTTGTCACAATTACCCACTTATAGAAGAGTCCATTTTTTAATTTGAAATACCACTCTGGTAAACTATATTTCCATATATACATGGGCCTGTTTGATGAAACTCTTCTATACTCCATTGGTTTGCCAATTCCTACACCAGTACAATAAAGAATTACTATAATTTTATATTTGATTGAATCAAGAAACAGCTCTTTTGTGGGTCAAAAAATGGCCGGGCAGTGGCATTTTCATATGATTCATTCTAATAGTATGTTCTTATAAGTTGTAGGAGTTCGTCATCCTCATTATTCTTTTAAAAAAATTTACTTTCTGTATTTTCTCCTTGCTCATTCATTCTTCACAGCAAATCTAGGTAAAAATTAATTCCATTTTACGGATGAGAAAAGAGGTCGGTGATTAACACTGTGAGGACTCAACCTAGGTGATCTGCCTCTCAGTACAGTGCTATTTGAGAACATAATCTAATGAACATGATGATAGATACCTACTCATCTAGAGCAGTATTTCTCAAAGTATGGTTCAAGAATAACCATCAGAATCACCTGACATGTGAGATAAAATACAGATTCCTAGGCTTCTGGCCAGACCAGATGAATTAAGATTTTTTACAAGGTGGTTCCTAAGACTATGCAATTTTAATTTCCCTCAAGGTAATTCTTCTTGCGATAGAAACAAAATACCTGGACTGTTACTTTAACACCTGGAAGAAATGTCATCACTGATTAATCTTTTATGTTATAGTTTTTGAAGTTTTTGGTTGTGAAGTGAGATAGAGTTAGTCTTCTGAATAAATAGTGTCATGCTTACAGGGCAAGAGTTCTGGAGTTGGAGGTCCCTGAACTTGATTTCTGGCCCTGCTATTTCCTTCCTGACTCAAGCAAGAAACTTTTAACTTTTCTGAGCCTCCATTTTTTTCATCTGTAAAAAACTAGAATGAGGCTAATAATTATCTTCCTCAGGTTGGCTGTTATTTTTTAAAATGGTTTTACCTTACTGTCCTCTGACTTTCTGAGGGTGTTTTGTAGAATGGTCCAGGTGGTAAATAGTTGCTTGACTTTAGTTCTGATTGCAAGGGGGGAGTTTTCTTTTCATGTAAAATGATACGTTTGCTACTGTCAGAAGTGAAAATTAGGAATCATTATAGGTTATTCCTTTTACTTTAATGATTATAAAGTTCAGTCGGGGTTATTGTTGCAGTTAGATATGGGATGTGAAAGTACTTTCTTTAATAATGGAGGATACCATTTGGTGACACTGAAAATAAGTATATGCACATCTTTGTCAGGAACAGAATTCTGACATTTTCCTTTTTAAACTGTTTTTCAGGGTTTGGAGAACATTGATTAAGGAGGCATTTTCCTGATTGATGAAAAATAACTCAGTTATGCTCATCCTACCCCTGCTAGAAGGTTATGCAGTGTATTGTGTAGCATACAGTGTATTATTTAGTGCTTAATAAAAATAAAAAAGTAAAATCAGAGATTTTCTTTACTTTTTAAAATAGTACTACACAGGATCAAGCAATCTAGCCAGTGTAGCTTTATCACTTAAAAAAAAAAAACAACTAGAAGGGAACTGAGGCTTGTAAAGTTATAGATGTAATGTACACCAGGCACCTATCACTGTGCCCAGTGCCTAATGTGTCGTAAATGGTAGTTGCTACTATTGTAATAGATATAATTAATATTTAAAAACATGTTTCTTCAGAGATTGCTAGGAGAATACAGAAAAAGTAGTGCTTTTTTCTCTAGTTCCTTTTCTGGGTGAATCCTGTAGTGCTTAAAATTCCAGACTGTACCTTCAATTTTCATGCATTCTGTATCTAGCACATAGTATTCACTTAAGTGTTGATTTTTATTTTAAATTGTTGTGTAGAGCAGCAACGATTATGTTTATTAAAGTGAGTGTACTGACCACTTGAAATAAAGAATTGCATGTTCAGTGCTAAAGTTAACCAGATAATAGGAAGATCTGAAAAGGTGTGTGTACTGTAAAGATGGTGAATACTCTGTGTGTGTAGGTTAATACCCCAGGTGACCACAGGACCTCTAGGTGAGAAAAGTAAGTTGCTTATCATCTCCATCTTTTATCCAGTTTAACATTTGATCTGCTGATGACCTTAAACACCCCTGCACTGTATGGTTCCCGTTGACCTCATCGTACAGGACAGGGCTTACAGAGGAAGGAGGTGGTGGTCACACTTAGAGGAATACTCTATATTGTGCCACCCTGTGCTGGTGAAACTCTTGAAAGAAAGCTATGGTCTGCTCACAAAGTTAACACAACCTCTAGTCTATTTAGGGCTGCACAGGGCTCATTTTATTGGTTGTTATGAGAACCATCTCTGGATAGGAGAAAGGGGGCAGGTAGTACAGATGGGTATACAGGACTTATTGATAACATTACTAAATGTGTCACTAAATCTATTGATTTTTAGGTCTGGTATCTGCCCAGTGTATCTTTAGGCAGGGCTCATCCGCTAGAGGATTCATCCTTAGATGAACGTCAGGGCTGTAGAGTGAGAGGCTACATGTAGAAATCAATTGGTCAGGTTCAGCATTAGCGTCCGAATTCTTCACCTCCTTTTTTGTCACTTGCTATGAAATTTAGCCTTATTTTTTACTCTGCTGCTAGGGAGTGAACCAGATTAAAACATTTTGAAGCTAGAAGACTGTAGTGCTGCTTTGTAACCTGCATTTCTCTTGGTGTTTTGCAAGTGTAGTTAGCTAGAAGGGTTTTCTTAGAGCAGCTCTGGCAGATGTGGTCTGGCTACTGACTTCGAGTCCGTAGTTCACCTGCTTTTAAGGCCAGTTGAGACTGGCCACGCGTCCCTGCCAGCCTGGAGTCCCCGCCGCGCCTCCTGCCTAGGCTTCAGCAGACCTCACCAAAATGCCGTCTCAAATGGAACACGCCATGGAAACCATGATGTTCACATTTCACAAATTTGCTGGGGATAAAGGTTACTTAACAAAGGAGGACCTGCGAGTACTCATGGAAAAGGAGTTCCCTGGATTTTTGGAAAATCAAAACGACCCTCTGGCCGTGGACAAAATAATGAAGGACCTGGACCAGTGCCGAGATGGCAAAGTGGGCTTCCAGAGCTGCTTTTCGCTAATCGCCGGGCTCACCATTGTGTGCAATGACTATTTTGTGGTGCACGTGAAGCAGAAGGGAAAGAAGTAGGCGGCACTGAGCAGTTACTCCTGCCCTGATAAGAAGTCTCCCAAAGGGTCGCTTAAGGAATCTGCCCCACAGCTTCCCCCTGTATAAGGATTTCCTGAGCAGATTGGGACCCTTAAAAAATGTACAAATAAAACCCAACTCCCCTTGGAGAAGCAGAGAAAGAAAAGTCAGTTAAAGCCAGATAAGCTTTTGATTTTTATATTGCTTGCATCCTCTTACCCTCAATAAACAAAATCATTTTTTAGTTCTGAAAAAAAAAGGCCAGTTGAAAGGATGCCTGGGAAGTGATGTCATTCATTTGGTTTTATTCTTTAAAAAAATTTTTTAAATTGAAGTATATTTGATGTACAAGTTACAAGTGTACAATAAAGTTCACAATTTTAAAGGTTATATTCCATTTATAGTTATAAAATATTGGCTGTATTCCTTATACATATGGTTTTATTCTTTAATTTTTAAATAGATACCGTATTCACATAGCTCAAAAATCTAACAACATAAGGTTGAGTGAAAAGACTTGCTCCAGTCCCCTGCCCAGTGCCTGCCCCACTGTCACACCATCCCAAAGTGTCTATGCACATATAAATGCATGTTTTGTCTTCTGTGATGGTAACACCTGATATGCAGTTTACCTTTATGTCACTTGTTTAGAAGAATGGTTCTTGTTTGAAATTATATATGCCAGGCTGCCATAGTTATTCCTGGGATCAAATGAAATAGTAAATAGGAAAAGACTGAAAAATGTTAGACGAAGCCATACACATTCAGAAGGGGGAGGAAGAGGATGGCCCTGCCCTTTGGGAAACACATTTAAGTGAACTATGGTAAAAAGAACATTCTAGAATCAGCAATTCCAACTTAAGAAAGGTTGAGGGATGGGAAGCAATCACTTACCTAGCCAACAGCAGACCAGGGACTAGAAGCTTGGTGTTTGGACTCCTAACCTAGTGTGCTCTTAACTGTCCTTTGTGGTTCACTTCAGTAAACAGTGCTGAGTAAATGCCACATGCCAGGCACTGTGCCTCAGATTTGAATAAGACAGCCTTTCCCCTCTGGAGCTCTGTCGTAGGGGAGAAAGACAATTACAGGTTGGGGTGTGATGAGTGCCAAAACAGTGGTCTGCGAAAGATGCTGTGGGGGCACAGAGGTGGGGCCTGACCCAGCCTTCAGATTGGGGGAAGGGGAAGGGTTTCAGGTAGGTTGCAGGTGATGCCCACAGCAAGCCAAGTCTTGAAGGTTGGGAAGCATTTACGAGACAAGCAACTGAGGGGAGGACGTTCCATGCCGAGAAAACAGCGTTAGTGTGGGGCACAAACTAGCATGGCTCTGCGGGAAAGGGCGACAGGTAGTTGTGCAGAACCAGAGCAAAGCCTGAGGCAAGAGAGACCCAGAACACACACGGGCCCAGTACATCTCCCTCGGGGTGTTGGACTCTCCAAGGGCAGCTGGGAGCCTCTTTGGGGCAGGAAGCAGGAGGCTGAGGTGGCCACCCACATACGGCTGCGGGGCTGCTCTGCAGAGGACGGACTGAAAGCAGGGGTTCTCAGCCAGGGTGAGTTTGCCTCCCAGGGCACATTTGGAAAGTTCGGAGACATTTTTCATTGTCACATGGGGAGTTAGAAGAAGTGCTACTGACATCTAGCGGGTAGAGGCCAGCAATGCTTCTAAACAGCCTACAGCGTATGGACAGCCAGGACAGTGGGAGCCCACAATGTTAACACTGCTGAGATGGAGAAACCCTGAAAACAGCAGGGGCTCCATCAAGGCACATGCCAGGGAGTGTTTGCTGTTTTTTTTTTTTAAATTCCTACTTATTCAGGAGTACATGGGGGCAGTTCCCCTTTCCCCGTTCCTTGTTCTTTTCTCATTAAGGTTCAGATCCCAGGTTCTCCCTTGGCTCATCCCTAAACCTGAACTTTATCACATCCCTGGAGGCGTTTGTTTTCCCACAGGTGTGTCCCAACTCCCTGCACATCCCTGTGATGTGCCGCAGATCAAGAAGGCAAAAAAAAAAAAGCTTTTTTTTTTTCCCGAAGAGATATGGAGACTCGGAACTTTGGGAGGACTGTCACCACCGCCTGTCACCTGTGCGACCTCAGGCAAGAAGTCACTTCACTGCTCTGAGCTTCAGGTCTCCTATCTCTCAAGTGAGGAAGTATGTGCTCTGCACACGTCCCTGGGTACCGAGACTGTCAGGAAGTCATGTATGTGGAGTGTTTGGAAACGTACAGCCCTGCTCACGTGGAAGGTATCATGGCTGGCTTACAGCTAAGCACCCCCTGAACAGTTGTCCAGGCCACCCCCAGGGCCCCCAAAGGCTCTTACCCAAATGTGGTGTCAGGTGGGCCCTCTGGCCCAGCGTGTAACCAAGTGTAGGCAGTCTCAGGTTCCGTCTTAGAACCAGTGAGCACATCTCGGGAATCCCCGGAGCACTGTGACACAGACAACAGACGGCACTACCCTCCATCAAGACACTAATTACTCTGAAGGTGTTTTCTGAGAGAGAGAAAAATCCAGCTCACCGCCACTGTGGGAACCAAGCGCCTGCTTACCCCTCTCAGCGGATGCTGCTGGCTCTGCTCTAAGGAAAGCTGGTGACTGGATGGGACTGAAGCTGGCTGCCCTCAACAGGAAGCTTCTGGATGAGAGGAGGGGTGAGTGTTAAACATCTCTTAGTTTTCAGAATTTTGTATTACCCTCATACTTTTGTGACCTGAGAAGTCAAATTATTCTACTATACTTTTGTGAGACACAAGACACCTGGAACAATTCTAGAGTTTTTTCTTTCCTAAGTATGTCGATGCAGATTATAAAGATCTAAAGACATTGGCATTCAGCTTCTTGGTTTGGGCCTCTGTGTGCTTGTGTAATGGTCCCCTCCTCCCCCTAGCTCATCCACACACCCCTGACCAAATCTTTTATCTCTGAGGTTTGCATACTCTGGAATATTCTTCTGGGATATCCACTTCCTTTGCTTTCCAGATGAAGATGGAATAGACCCTGAGCTGGGGGTGAGCATGCTCTTATAACCTTCACATTTTGGTGCATTGTTGATAAAAGACAAGAGAAGGAAATTTCTGTGAAGAATAAATCTAATGCTATATTTGCATTAACTGTAAAAGGCTTCTTTGGCATATCTGTGTACCCTCTTTACAGCTGTTAGCCGCAGTACACCTCCCCCACCCCTAAAGGCTCTTTAGCGATGAAGAGCCCAATCACTGCTTTTGGGATTTCCACAAATCTTGATTCAGAACTAGAGACCTAATTGTTCTTTTCAGGGCATCACTGAGAAAATGGCCTAGCAGATCGATCTTGTATGTAACTGGCACTTTATTAATTTGAACACATTTTGTTTCATCTGTTTGTTTCTTGGCAGGCATCTTCCTCAGTTCCAGAAAACATGGAGGTGCACCAATTACTATATACGGCCTAGAGAGTGGTCAGGTAATACAATTTACAAACAAGTATGCAATTTTATTACAACCCCAAAGAACTGTAATAGCAAAGGCAGTAGTAAAAAAAGGGAAGACAATGGAAAAAAGCATCACTGAGCATCACTGTCCCAAGAAAACAAAAATCTTTCCCATGTGCTTAAGGGTTTCTTTGGTACACCTGCTTGTCCCCCCCCCAACCTGTGCCACCTGCCACATGGCTGGGGAGGGTCTCATTCCGCAGATGGATTTTTTTCCTTCTAGGCTTTGTTTCTAGAGGCCAGAAAACAGTGTAGCCCCCCAGAAGCCTACTCTCCTCTCTTACCTCTAAGAGCCTAGTCTTTGGGGCAGGGTGGGTCAGGTCTCTAGGATGACTCTGGAGCTTTCATCCAGTGCCTGTTAAGTATGGCCCAGTGTAGTTCTGACCGTGGAGCAGAACATCAAGGCACTGCCATCAGAAGTCCACCCATGTGAGAACAGCTTGCCATAGTACTTGTGTTCTGAGCAAAGCCCAGTTCAATGAGGTACTCGCCCTGTGGCAGACTTGCATGCTTAAGGATGGCTGGAATGTGCCGAGAGGCCTCTGTAACATCATAACTCTCAGGGATCCACTCATCTGGGACTGACCAGCACAGTGCTCAGGGCCTCTGGCCTTTATGGATGGAGAATGGGCCCCGGTTTAGGAAAGGCCCCCGGGCTCCTACCGCCTTCTCTCCTTTCCCTCCTTTCCTTTCCCAGGACAGTCTGGTGATTTTTCAGCCTTGATGTGAAGTCACTCAGCCACACTGATGTAGAACCTGCCCAAATCCAACGTGCCTTGCTACCTACATGTGACTGGCTAGATATCCTTTCATGTGAGCACACCTTATCTTCCCAACTAGACTGTAAGTGCATTGAAGGTGGGAATCTTGTTTTACTCGGCTTCACTTCGCCACAGTGCCTGCCACCTGCGCACTTTGCTAAAAGATACCCGCTGGCCGACTAGGTTCAATCGACAAGAGATTGTCAGCATTGAGCTAGAGCGTCATCGCTGAGAACGGAGGTAGGGAGGAGGAAAGGGGCGAGGGGAGAAAAAGAAGATAAACAAGGGAGAGGGGTCATAGGGTGAGCACGAGGGTACAAGGGGAGGCAAGGGCAGAAACAGAGAGGGAATGAATATGACTGAAGGGGCAGCGATAAAAAGGAGAGAACTCAAGGCCCAGGGTGCGAGGGTGTGGCGTCCGGAAGGGACCCCCCCCCCGGCTTTAGCTCGGGCCCCTCGTGCTCTGGCGTCAATCACCCCTGCCCGGGGCCTCCCCCCATGTCCTCAATTCAGGAAGACGCTCACAGCGACCTTAACGGGGCTCCAAAGCAACCGTGGTGAGCACCGCACCCTGGGTACGAGCTCGCCGCGCTCCCACACGCGGGCAGGGGAGGCCCCGCCCTCTCCGACCGGCGGAGCGGCGGCGGGAGGCCCAGGCGGGCGGGGCGCACGGCCCACCCCGCGTCGTCGGTCTCCCGGGAAGCGGCCGCGGCACACGCTCACCGCGGGCCGACCGGCCCGCCGCTCCCGGGCAGGGTCTGGAAGGGCCTCGTGGCGGTTCTCCCGGGCACGTCCTTGCGCAGCGGCTCCACGTTCTCGCAGGTGCTCGGGGGCACGCGCGCAGACAAGGGCTTGGGGCTCCTCGGCGGTGAGGCTCATGGCGGGGGTGGGGGGCGGTAGGAGCGGGGCTGCCGAGTTCGAGATTTCCTTCCTGAGGAAGAAGGCGCTGAGTTTGCTGAGCTCCTGGCCAGCTCCTGCCTCACCAGGGAGGCAGAAGCATCCGAGTAGGAGGGCACGGCTTGGAAGAACCTGTCCTCTGCGCTGCAGAGAGTTCAAAAGGCCTCTCAATCTGGAGAGCCCCGAGGCCAGAATTTGTCGCTTCAGCGAGGGGCTTGGCTGGGGATAGGAGGTAAAGTTCTGGCTCACCGAGTTGCAGCTCCTGCTTCAAAGAGGAGCCTTTCTAATTGGCTGGTAAATCTCTCCTGGCTCCCCCAAGAAAATACTTTGCCTACTAGGAGTTTGTCTTCGCTTGCCTGCATGGCTCTCTCCTCTGGGCAATTAAGAATCCCACTGCTTGCCTCTTAGGCCAGGTCCTCACCTGGGGCCTCTCATCACTGGCCCCCGGGCTTCTTAGGAGAGGTCCGACTGCCCTTGCCCACGAAAGGTTGGCACACAGGAAGCCAGAGCTCTGCCCTTTGGGAACGCAGCTACTGAGGGGCCTAGTGTTTCCCGTTTCCCCTCTTTTCCCCAGGGAACCCAGAGGAGGGCAGGGCTGTGGATCCGGGCCAGCTGTGGCACTAGAGTTGGCCTGAGTGGGAGTCAGACCAGAGAACAGAACTGAAGTTAGTCCTTATCATCAGTCGTATTCGTAGATCAGGGACCTGCGGACTCACCCAATACCAGTGTCCACACGCATCCTCCTCCTGCCCTGGCTGCTGGGCAGGGGGCCCAAACAGTGAGGGCTCCAGACACACCTGCCCCTGTTGTCCCAGGCACGTTCTCCCAGCTTTTGGGAAGTGGCGGGCTCTTTCTGACTCCTATACTTTTGGACTCTGCCTGTTGTGGTTAATTTCTTCATCATCATGATTGTGGTAACTAATGTTTTTTGAGCACTGTGGACAAAGAATGTTGCCTGCCATCAAGCCATCAGCCACTGCAACCATCAGGGTGTGCCCTGAGCGGGGTTCAGGATGGGGGGGCTGGGAAGCAATACTGGCCCTAGATAGTTAAGATGCATATCAAAGGAAAAATTTTAAGGAGCCCAGACTCTTGCATCTTCCAAAATGTAGAATCACTAATTTCATTAACTTGAGATGTCTGCTTTTTGTGATTAGCAGTAATCTTTTGATGTTTGACTACATTTGTTTTTTTCAACAAAACTTCCTAGATATCTTGGCTCCTCTCTTACCTCTTTGGTACAGTTCCTCAGAACTAAGAGGCCATCTCCTGGGCTAGAATCCTCAGTAAGCTCCTTGAATAAAATGTAACTGTTGCAACTTTTAGGTTGGGTTTTTTTGTTTTTCAGCTGACAACACTTAGAGTGTGCCCGTCCTTGTTTTGAGCGCTCCACATGAATTGCTTCATTTCATCTTCTTATCAACCTTATGAAGTGACTCCTATTAAGATCCGCATTGTACACATGAAGCTCAGAGAGGTGAAACAATCTGCCTAAAGTCACAAAGCCAATGCATGGCAGAGCTGGGATTTGAAATCCTACCCTCAATTAGAGTCTGAGTTCTTCCAACAAAGCCACAGTACCTCCCACCCATCTCCCTCCCCAGTACCATCCCTACCTCACTGCACCATCTTGGCAGCCAATCTGTATGTGGGCCCTGGGTCTGTGTGTGTCTTCCAGGCAGCTAGCTCAGCATTTCATCCTGAATAAAGAGGATACTAAACAAAGCACTGACTTTGTTGTGATTGAGGCCAGTTTGGTGAGAAACCAGCTACTCCTTATACAAGCACAGTGGTTAAGGGCAGGGGTTCTGAGACTTAGAACTTCAATGGATTAATAAAATTAGTAAAATAAAACTGGGTCCTAACATAGGGCCAACAACTTTTCATTTCACCATTTAAAAGAACACTATACTACTACTACTACTACTATTAATAATAATACTAGAAATAATATCTAAGCATTATAGAGTGTATGATGTACTAGGCATGTTCTCAGTCTTTACATGGATTATCGGATTTGATCCTCATAAAGAACCCTATTCCACATTGATTGATTTGTGAATGTTGAACCACCCTTGTGTCCCTGGGATGAATCCAACTTGATCGTAGTGTATATACTCTTTTTCACATGTTGTTGGATTTGGTTTGCTAATATCTTGTTGAGAATGTTTGCATCTATATTCATCAAAGATTTTGGCCTGTGATTTCCTTTTAGGCAGTGTCTTTGGTTTTGGTATCAGGGTGATGGTGGCTTCTAGAACCCTATTCCACAGGCACTCTCATCCCCATTTTATAGATAAGGAAACTTAGAAATGTTAAGTAAACTGTCCCTGGGTCTACGCTGATAACCATTATAGTATAAGCTCATCCTTGATTCATAAAAGACATCTTTGAAAACAATCAAGCACACAAGGGAAGTCCTAACCTCAGAATTGGGGAATAAATAAGTAAAAACTCAGTCAATGCAGTTGGACAACTCTGAGTTTGAGTTTGGGGCAATTTATTTAATTCTCTCTGTGCCTCTGTTCAACTGTAATGAAAACACTGATGCCTACCTAACAGGGCTATCGTGAGGAGTAAATAAGCCCTTCACACGGTGACGAGCACATATGAGGGCCTCCAGGACGTGCCAGCTGTGCGGCCTATACTTACTATTTTTCCTGGCACAGTTCTGCAAGCCCGTCTCCTCCTGGGGAGAAGCTGGGTACGGATACAACAGCTTGGTCCTGCTCTGCAGGTAAGATTGTTGCTGTGACTGACTGTCCTCCTCCCTCACTAACAGGCATTTGGGCTTCGCTTCCCATTGGTTGAAATTGGTGTTGCCCTGGCAGTACTTGGAAACATTCCATCTGGGAATCCCTGGGAAAAGCTGCTGAGAGACTGAGGCTTTCCTGGCTACTACTTTTCCAAACAAGGATCTGGTCCCGCAGGTATCGGGGGTTACTAAGGGTGGGAGGGCTCCTCAAAAAGGACCTGCAGTGGTTCTCCCTGTTTATCACCCAGACCCCAAACTTGACCACACCCCTGACTCTTCACACCCATTCTGCCCATCTGGCCTCATTAGGAAGGGAAGAGGAGAAAAGGAACTGGGAAAGGCCAGTGGGAAGGAGGATAAAGAATGATTCGTCCTGGGAAGGGGTGTAGCTCAGAGGTAGAGTGTGTGCTCAGTGTGCACGAGGTCCTGGGTTCAGTCCCCAGTACTGCCATTAAAAAAAAAAGTGACTTGTCCCACGGACATGTGAGGATAAGATCTGGACTGTGTCCTGAGCCCTGCTCTCTGCTTTCCCTCTCCCATCGGAGCACAAGGCTCCTTGGGGAAGGTCTTAAGGAGGTCTTTCCATGGACAAGGCCCCCCACCTCATTTGCTTGGTGTTGGATGTCACAGATTTGGCTTCCAGTTAATTCATTAACAGATAATTTGCTGAAGCCAAGTCACTGAATGACCAAGTAGCCAAATGGGCCATTTTCTTTTTTTTCCACTTTTTAAAATTGAAGTATAGTTGATTTACAATGTTGTACTAGTTTCTGGTGGGCAGCATAGTGATTCAGTTATACATATATATTCTTTTTCATTACAAATGGGCCATCTTCTGAAGGATCAAATTGCTGTATGGTTAATTAACCAAAGCCTGCCGAATTTACCAATTTACAAAAAAACTGTTGTCTTTAACTATGGAGTTTATGGGAAATTGATTTGGCCAAATTGGCATGACCCTTGGGCTGGGGAGCACCAGTTTTCTAGGGTTCAGGGCCTTCAGACACCCTTACCCCCACCCTCAGTCCGTCCTCGCTCTGGGATGGGCAGCCTGAGAAGATTCCATTTGCCCCCAGCAGATGACCCTGTCTAACAACAGGGAGCTAAGGCAGAGGCAGACTAGCTTACCTGCTGATAGGAAAGCCAGTGAACGCGAGTCAGCATCATTCCTGGCAGGTCTGAAGCTGTTCAAACCACTCCTGGGCTGACAGCCTCGGAACAGGCTTCCTCGATTCATACGGTAACAGGAGTCCCTCTCCAGGACTCAGGGTCCCAGCAGGAAGCTGTTGGCACAAAAAGTAGGAGAGGTCGAGAAGGGTTAAGTAAAGGGAATATTTACAAAGGTGAGGGCAGACGGTAGGGAAAGGAGGGCACGTGCAGCTCCCTGAGGCTGGTAACGGTGGGGCCGCAAAGTTGAGGGGAGAGAATGGTCACCCTCACCCAACTGAGTGGTGAGAGAGCTGCCCCAGGGCAGGTGGCGCCTTCCCCTCACAGCCAGCCACAGGTGACCTGGGCTGGGAGACCCCCAGGGAATATATGCCTCGAGCTCACTCTCCTCCCTTCAGCCTGGTCTCCCCATTGTGTGGAGTGGCCTGGAAGACAGAGCAGGAGAGAGTCCACTGCTGCAGTCCAGACGGGTCTGCCTTCCAGGACAGCAGGGGAAACGGGGGCAGTGGGCCTGGAGGGGCAAACGCAAGGTCTCCAGCGCACCATCTCACAGCGCTTGGTGAGAGCTGAATGCAACGAGGTACATTAAAGACCCCAAACTGAGAGTTGCTCTTGATTGAAAAATAAATAGCTCCCCTCGGAGTGAGAGATCCACTTTCATGCAGCACCCGCCATGCAAGGGATTTATAACTGCTAGAAGTAAGGTATAGCTCCTCAGTGAAGAGACTTTAGTATAGCAGGGAAAAAAGATGATCTAAGACTCAAGGGGAAAGATGGGGGAAACATGGAAAATGTGCAGACTTCTAGCTCGGTGACAAACCCTTCACAGCCCTGGTAACTCTAATTTCCACAATCTCAGTAGATGTCAAGGGCATTTGGAAATTTTAATTATCACTTATGATAAACATCTTACTAAAACAAGAGCAGACAAATATATCTTCTTAATAAATCTCAAGCCGTGAAGCAGCAGCACGCTTATGGTGTAACACCAGGAAGCACCCCCACTGAAGCCCCACGCGAGAGAAGCAGGCTCATCACCTCCACCTTCATCTCCGTTTTCCCGGAAGTGTTACCCAAAGCTCATGCTTGTATACTGCTGGGAGAAAGGTGGTGAAAAGTGATACTTTCTGACAGATAATTGTATACCTAGAAAATCCAAAAGAAAAAAGGTGGAAAATGAGCCCCTTCTATACTGTATTGCCTCTCATCATTTTTATTCACTTTATCTTTAAAAAGCCACATGCCCTCAGCCACCTAAAGCAGTGATTGAGGTTCTGATAAAGACTCAACTAGAAATCAATATTGCTAGAACTCTAAGAAAGTTAGAAATCATTCTACTACATCTTGCTTGACTTAAGTCTTCATGGCTATGAGATGGGGGAATTCCTTGGTTTTCAGGAATAGTGGATCTCAGCAGCCAGACACAAAGGGTAAACAGTGAGGCCTCACTCCTACCCCAGCCCCTAATCCCCTCCATCGAGAAAATGACCATTTCCTGTATCTTGTGATTTCTCAAGACATAGTCTGTACTTAATATGAGTGTACACACACACACACACACACACACACGTAAAGGTAACTTCTTGAGTTTCTTTTTCCAGTCAAAAGAAAATGAAGTGGACGAAACATGTCAGATTTCAGGAGGAAGTAAACGTGGCTAAAGAGTCTACAAGCCAGACGGCGGACACACAAGACACCACCAGTGTAACTGAAGTGGCTCTAGCTCTAGCTGAGGATGTCATCGCTGCTGCTGTTCAGTCCGTGAAAGGTGGTAATCCTGTTTGGGTGCCTCAAGGATTGTCTGATGATGTAACACGCCACACAAGGAGAGGAGGCAACTAATGAATTCCCACCTTGTTTGCAGAAGCTGAAAACCCCATCAAAAACATCGACTGGGTCACACACGGTGAATTCTCAGCAGAAAGGGGCCGTAAACAAATTGAGCAGTTTGTCTTGGTAAGTGAGTTGACCACTCCAGCTTGGCATACAAAGGCGAAGAACAATAGAAAGGCTCCTGTTTGATGAAAAGTTTGAAGTCCTTCTAGAAAGCCTAAGAGATTATTTCATAGGCGACCAGAATAAGTAAAAACTGTCCTCATCTGGGTTTCAGAATCAAGATGGGATAGTCTTTGAAGGTTAAAAGCTCAATCGCATTTCCCAGTGTTGGTATCATCCTAACCGTTCTTTTCCCTAGGAAACTCGGATAGTCTCAGTGAGCAACTTTCCCGTGCTGCTGCTCTAACTGGGGGACTGGTGGCCTAAGGAGGGAGCTGCCCCCCTAAAATAGAAGTTCACCATCTCCAACTTTAGAGTGCTCATATTAACAGGGGAGGCACATAGATCACAAGTCTTTTTATTTAGCTTTGAAACATATTCACTGGACAGTCAGATGTACATGCTCATAAATTCCTTTTCTTTCTCCTCATGGACCTGGCTCTGACCCATTTGAGGGCTTATCCTGGCAGCCTCCGGGAGAAGGCCGTGAGTTGCTTTGCATAACCAGTGCAGTGAATAAAGAAGAATGGCCTGAAATCCCCACTCACTGTATTTCCTTGGAAGAGAAACCAGTAGAAATTGGTGGAGGCAAACTCCCTGACCCTGGGAGAAGTTTCCAGCTGCCTCTGTCCCTCTGGTCAGCCCATTCAAGCCCTCCGCCCGAAGGGCACCTGGGAAGGCCCAGTCAGGAGAGAAGGAGGAAGGGTCAGGGGTTTCTGGCTCCACAACTTCCACTTGTGACCCGATGGCAAAACTTTCCATTCCCAGGGCAAGGGGGATCTGGAGCAGGGTGAAGAGGAATGGTGCAAAGTCCTAGTCACTCTTAGGCCTTCCTGCCTGGCCCCCATCTCCATTTGGGTTTGGGCAACAGGCCCTGCCTGCTGCACCCAGGGAATCAGACTGGAATGGGACACAGAACAAGCAGGAAAGTGTTCCCCTACAGATCCCACTAGTTATTCTGAGTTAAAGGCAAAAGTAAGTCCTGACAGGGGCCTACAGGGCCCGACGTGATCTGAGTCTCTACCCGCCACCTTCCCCCCAGACTGCTCAGACCTCATCACCTCTCTGCTTCTCCCCTTTCACCCTCCTCACTCCAGCCACACTTGCCTCCTTGCCATTCAACTCTAAGGCACACCCCCACCCCAGGGCCTTTGCACTTGCCATTCCCTTTACCTGGAACTCCCTCCTCTGAGATCTCCTTATGGTTCATGCTTTCCCTCTCTTCAGCTCTTTATTCAGACGCCACCTGCTCATTGAGGCCTCTCCTGGCCACATCATCTAAAATCGCACCCGTCTCTCCTCCGACATTTTTCCATTAGCACTTAGCTCTACCTAAGAGATTAGATTTTATTTACCCTGTTGCCTTTCTCCCACCACCAGATTGCATAATCCATGAGGGCAGAGACTTTTGTTCATTGCTCTGTCCCCAGCCCCTAGAAAGGTCAGATACATAGTAAATGCTCTATAAGTATGTGTTGAATACACGAACAGATTTTTCTTCTCTCCATACCATTATTTCTTCACAGATGAAAAGCTAGGTCAAAGTGTTTGTCTTACCCATTTGTAGGACTGCTGTGAGGACAGAGAACAATTAGAAAGTAGAAGGTAACTGAAAAGCTAAAAGCTCTATATAACTCGATGAAAAATCACCCTGTTCCCAGCCCCACTAATGCAGCAAGCCCTAGAAGTCAAGTCTACCATCTAAGTGCCAGGCACTTCTGATGGAGAGCTTTGTCTAGCTTACTGCAGATTTCCCAGAGGCCACCATACGCCAGGGGGTGGCAAATTAGGAGTTATTACCATTTACTGAGTGAGCACTACTATGTGCCAAGCACCACCAGGTACTTCACGTGCATTGTCTCATTGAATCTTCACAACAAACCTGTGTGCGCGTACATCAGTGTACCCATTTTACAGATGACAAACCTTGAGGCTCAGAGAGGTCGGGCAGTTTGTTCGAAGTCCTTCTGATTAAACAGCAAAATGAAGTTTTGATCATAGGTCTGTCTGATATACTTTTTCCACCTAATTATAGGAAAAGTACTTTTTGATGACAAAAGTAATGGAGAGTTTACTGTCAACGAAAAATGCAAATTCAAAAGATTTTACGGTATTGCAATGTGAATAAGAATGGTTACACCTGGTGTCAGAAGGCCTGTGTGTAGGGAGGGAGCAGGCACACTTATGTCACTGGGCATAACTGGTTTATTTTCTTCAGGAATGCAGTCTGACCACAAGAGTACACAAGTTCTTCAGACAAGGAAAACTGGTAATTCCCCATACCTAAAACACTAAAACACTTAAAATTATTTTTATCATGAAAATAAGACATCATTATTAAAAAAAAAACCCAGTGAGGAAAAAGACACAAAGCAGAAAATGGGAGGTTCCCTTCCACCCCCACAAAACCCAGTTCTACTCCCTCAAATGACACTTACCATTGATAACAGTTTTGTGCACATACTTCGAGATGCCTGTTGGTTTTGAGTGTCCAGCAATATGTACTTGGCTAAGCCATCCGTGGTAGAGCAGCGCAATGAGACACTGTTTCCTAGAAGTGAGTATATGAAGCCGTGTTATGTAAAAATGATAAAACACAAGGATAATACACACTTGCTGCAGCTACATAAAGCTGCCTGTACAGAGATAAAAATGGGGAGAGACTGGCCTGATGGAAACAGCTGAATTTTTATCTAAGGCTGCTTTAGAAACTCTTAGAATTAAGACATCTGATAGGGTAGAGAGAGCACTGAGCTGCTGGGGAGCCTGGGCCCGTCTCAGCTGTTGTGTTGGATGGTCCCTTCCTATTTCTAGGCCCCAGGATCCTCATCTGCAAAGTGAGGGGCTTTGTTAGGTGATCTCTAGGGACCACTTCAATGCTACAAAGTCTGTGATTAAACATTAGGCCTGAAAAAGTATATTAATATAGAAAAGTGGGGGGAAAAAAGCATGTTCCAGTGGGCCTTGAGGGGTTGACTGTTGGATTCCTTCGTTAAAAGGAACAACGATCTCTGTAAGAAGACACAGACCCTGATCTCAAGGAATCTAGAGTCTGGTGCTCCTCTCTGGCTAATGGGAACAGCCAATCGGGTAGAAATTTGAAATAAAGAGCTGAGGCAGAAGGCCAGTCTAGTTTTTTTTAGGAGGGCCTGAAATCTTTTTACCAGTCTCCTCCCACACCTCTCCCCACATCACTGGGATTGTCAGACTGTCATCCACTTCCTTCCTTCTGTGGACCTTCCTCTTAATTCACGATCTTTTTTGATTTGGAAGTGCCCCAGTAGCCAGTGCAAGGGGGTTCTGTCAAACTCGCTGAATACCTCTGGCCTTCAAGGCCTGGTGCTGAGACTCAAGGCTGCATCATGACGTCTGTGGACCCCAGGTGTTAGTAAGATTAGCGCTTTGGATGGGGAAGCTTTGCCAAGGGATCTGAGGGGTCTGGATGGTCCTTTGCCAGGCCCATCCCTTTTCTGACCTTATTTTATCTGCTACCTAGGGCTGCAACGAAATGAGTCTGACTTTCAAAAACAGCTTGTGAAATCAGCCTCATTACTTTCTAGTCACACCTTCAGGCCTCCCGGAGTGGAGTGAGCAGAACACAGGTTCTAATCACTTTCTAATTATTTTCCAATGAACCAAACTTGCCTTCCGAGTAAGGGTCTGGAAGGAGGTGCGTGTGTGTGTGTGCGGTGTGTATGTACACACACATCTGAGTGTGCCCTCCTGCACTCCAAAGCCCACTCTCAAGTGATGTCTGCACTATTCACTTATTTCAGCTCCACTTTTTCTCTTCTCTAGCTCTGGAGACAAGTGGGGGTTGACTCTAGTGTGAATCTCAGTCAAAAGTGTTAGAGATGGACTCCAGGAGCAGGGCTGTAACCCCTCCTGTTGTGCACCTTCACCTAGTGAACTTGTGTAGATGTCTGCTTTCCCTCCTCTGTGTGCTTTTTCTTTTTTCTATAAACAGAAGTGGGAGTATCACAGCCGCTGGGTGCACTACACAGACTTTTTAAGGAGGGAAGACATGGGCCACAGCTTCCACTACATCTACTGTGTGCGCTGGAGCATCCCAACTGCTCAGATACCCATTGCACAGATTACTGCCGGTGTCTACTTTACCATCAAGATCCACAAAAAAAAACCTCCGGTAAGTGTTTCCTTTTCCGCCCTGCTCCCATCAGTGAGGCTCCAGTGAGAACGGAGACTTCTATTGTGAAGGCCACTGATGACCTCTTCTTTGTAAAACTGACCAGTCGTATTTCTGTCCTCATCCTGCTTGGCCCGCCTGCAGCATTTGCCAAAGCTGATCACTTCCTCCTCAGTGAAATACTGCATTTGGCTTCTAGAACAACATTCTCTCCTGGTTTTCTTCCTGCCTCACTGACCATTCCTTCTCAGTCTCGTGCTGGTCTCTCCTCTTCTCACAAACCGCTTCGTATTGGAATGTCCCAACACTCAGGTCTTGGACCTTTTCTCTATGCTCACTTCCTTGACAATCTTATCCAGTCTCCTGGCTTTAAATGCCACCTCTAGCTTATGATTCCCAAATTTCCACCTCCAGCCCAGACCTCTGCCACTTGGATGTTTAGTAAGCATCTTACTTCTTGTGTCCAAAATTGAACTTCTGATTTGCCTTTCCAAACCTGACCTGCCTGCACCTTCCTCATCTCAGCTGATGGCCAAAATCCTCCATAGCATCCCTGGCTCTTCTTTTTCCCTCACCTACCTCATCCAATCCATGAGGGACCCTGAGGGCCCTACCTTCAAAACCTGGCCCTGAATCCAAGCATTTCTTCCTACTCCACCTCTACCACCCTGGACCAAGACACCATCATCCGTCACCAAAGTTATTTCAACAGCTTCCACCCTTACCTGCATCCTGTCTCTTCTCAGCCAGCCAGAGTGGAAAATCAATGAGCCTATGTCACTTCTCTGTTTCAAAAGTTCCAACGTGCTTCTCAGACTCAGAAGTGCATGCGAATTACTCAGGGATCATTAAAAGGAAGATTCTGGTTCAGCAGGTCTGGGGCAGGGCCTGAGATTCTGCATCACTAAGAAGCTCCCAGGTGATACTGATCAGGACCCAGGGCCACAGACCACATTTTGACTAGTGAGGGCCCACAAGGCCTTGTGTGGTCTGGTCCTTCGTTATTTCTGCTTTCCCACCACAACTTCCCCTGACTTACTCTGCTCCAGCCACTCTGTTCTTCCCTCTCCTCAAATAAGCCAGGTGTAGTCCCGCCTCAGGGCTTCGGCACTTGCTCATCCCTCTGCCTGGAAGCCTCTCCCCAAGGCATGTGCACGGCCAGCTCGCTCACCCCCTGCACTGCACCTTCTACCCCGACTCCCATGCTTTTGCTTTTTTTCCATAACACTTTACCACCTTCTGATCTTCGATATAACTTATCTCATTATAGTCTGCTCCCCCAATGGAATGTAAGCTTCAGGAAGGCAGGGATTTTTGTCTTGCTGTAAAACAAGGCCTGCCAATAGTAGGCACTCAATAAGTCCTTGAAGGAATGACTGCTTGGTCCACTAGGTAGACCATGAATATGAAATATGTTGATAGCTGGTGTGAAAGGAGTTCATATAACATCCATGATTCCAGGGTTAGGGTCCTCAGAAAAGCAGGGTTGGTACCAAGCATAATGCCTGGAATACAGCAGACATAAAAATGTTATTTCCCTTTTGCCTTCATCCTTTCACTGAAGTTATTTGAGTCTTTGTGTGACTCTAAGGCTTTACATACAACCACACAGTGAGCCAACTCTGTCCTATATTCATCCCATCCCAGTACAAACTTACCCATTTGGAGAGTTTAGAACCTGGAGTGATCTAAAGAGGTAAAATACGTGTTCTCACTTCTGACCATACATCCCGCCATCAGCTGTCTTGCTGACTGGCAAGGTCTAAGATCGGAAATTGAGGCTGCTGGAGGTAAAAGTGACCATGACCAGAGACCACACAGAGAGAGGGCTGGGGAGATGGGCTCTTGCTCACAATTCCAAGTATAATTTTGGAGGGGATACTGGATGGAGACACCACTGAGACAATATTATAGCCTACATTTTTGTACTGTTTTAAAAATGTTTTTGAGCTGTATTCATCTGTATGATTTCATTCTTAGGCCGTCCTTACAAGGTAAGCTGGTACTGTCAGTTGAGTAAGCCAGAGCACATAAAGAAGGCACGTGACTTACACTCCTATTGATGAGAGCACAGCCTCTCCTGACTTGTTTCCAATTTTGTGGAGACTCAGGGTATCTGTTGCCAAAAAGATCTTCTGGAGAACAGAGAGTTTTTTTGGGTCTTTTTTGCTTGTTTGTTTTGCTTTTTTGGGACGGGAGATTAGGCTTATTTATTTTTATTTATTTTTAATGGAGGTACTGGGAATTGAACCCAGGGCTTTGTGCATGCTAAGCATGCACTCTACCACTGAGCTATATCCTCTCTCCTTGGAGAACAGAGGTTTGAAGTGACAAACAACTGCCATCTATAGACCCTCAATTCACAAGGAAGATGAATTCTAGAAATTTAAGAGCTTACATATGACACATGTAGCAATGGAAAGAATCACGAGTTGGTATGATTGTTCTAGGCTGACAGTTGCCTTTTTCTCTCTTAGGATACACCCATTGATGTCTCTTATGTCTTTGAGGGCCAATCATTAGTTCACAGGTAATGAACACTTAGAGACTTATTTTAAAAGGGTACTGAGAAAAGGTCATCACACTCCAGGAATCCAGCAGGCCCACAGCTACAGATAATTTATGTAGTGGTCACTTTTCTTCTTTGGACCACCTACTCCATTAGGATGAACTGAAAGTAAGATTCTGCCACTGTTCTGGAAAATTGTTTTTATTTTTAGTGTCTCATTTTTCAGTGATTATAAATTTGAGGATTAGTTGCTGGAGTAGGGTGGGGCCAAAGTAGGTCATGTGTATTATTTCTATGGGAAACTTCACTTGTAACTAACTCTTGTATAATAATCCCTTTTATTTGTACAGCAGCTCTTTTAAAGAATCTTTACGTATAAGCTCATAAATCTTTTTATTCATTGGGCCTAAGGAATAGACAACCTGTGCCCCCTACTCTGAAAAGGCATTTTGCTCACTAGGAATGTAATAGAGTAAACAGGGAGTCAATCCCTGGCTCAATGTTTTGATTCATTTTTTAAAAGTTTTGCGTGTCCTTGTTTTTCTTCCTCTGCAGACCAGGAATGATTCGCTTTCGAGACAAATGGCTGAGTGACATTATTGAGGCCAAATGTATTTTAATTAATCCAAATATGTTCCAATTCAACAGTATTGGAATCTTTCAGAATATCGTAGGATTAGATTTCTAATCACAGTGTATTAACATACGATACTGCACATCAAACCACAGAGTATTTATTGAATAATAAACTTGTGGCACACAATCCAGCTGTATTGATTTTTCTGCATTCATTCATTTTCCAGTTTGCAACTTCCATCATATTAGCAGAGTAACCAATAAGTTGTTTTCCATTTTTGAAAAGGTTTTTCCCATCACTGTTTGCATCAGAGTCTTACAAGTATAAAAGTTGTTGAGTTTAGGGAGTTGCTAAAATTCACCTATCAGACCAAACTGAGATTGGTCCTTCGCTGTGTATTCCCCCATTTCAGCCTAAGTCTCCAGCCCGGACACACCTCTTTCATGGGCGCAACTAGGGAACAGAAAAATGGCACCAGTTCTACAGCTCATAAAATAACCAGTTTCAAGGATTTCCCTACTCACAGACCCCTTAATTTCCTGCAAGTTAAGCCTCACTGTTAAACAATACATTCTGAAACTCTGAAACTGGGCATGCTGCCTACTGCAGCACAGCGTCTCAACCGTGATGGCACCAGGCTGACTTGAGGACTGGGTGCAATGAAACAGGGAAGGTTCAGTCTCCACCCTTACTTATTTTTTGTCTTCTTCCCATTGTCACACCAGATCATCACTTGTCCCTGCCAGCCCTGTGAAGCTGTCTTGCCTGGCTGTAAAGTTTTAAAACACCAAAGACAAAATTACATTATGAATGGTTACTTACAAGTATGTCAGAATATGTATTTATGTAGACAAGCACTGGAAGGAACAGTGAATACTAAAGACAACTGAGTGGTAAGGCTGTGGGTAATTTTTCTTTCTTCTTAACTGTTATATGTGTACAAGAAATTAAAAAAGGAGGGAAAATCTTATCAAAGGAACAAGTGAGGAAGTGGGAAACTGGGTCTCATTGGAGGACAAAAAATGTATTTCAAATACAATAGCCCTCCTCCCATTTGACTTATGGCTTGGGTGACCAAACACAGTTTCAAGCATTAACTTTCATGAGCTGAAAATAAACTGCCTTTGGCCTTTTTATTTTTCCCTCCTCTTTCCCAAAGAATATGCTACCAAAGCTTTTCTTTGGCAGAGCTTTCCTGAACAAACCCTGATGAAAGATATGGTAAAGTTCCAAAATAAATTCATATATTTTCTTTCATTTACTCAACAAGCATTTGTTGAGTATCTACTCTGTGGAAAAGATAGGAGAATCCAATGAAAATCTACAATATTCATGTATCACAAAACTGTTGCATTTAAACTACCTTGCCTACTGAATGAAAATCAGAGAACAAACCCATTCAGTCTCTAGGAACCAGTAACAAAAAGTAATGTTCTTACAGAACAGTATTTTTAAATGGTGAATATAAATTTAGGTTTTATTACACCAGGGAGTAGATGGGCTCACAAATTTAGGGCCTAGTTTCCTTTTAACTTTTAGCAATAATAGATTTATTAGGTTAGGCAGCAACAATGATAAATCAAAATAACTTCAAATTCAGGGGTCATAAGCGTTGCCACATGCCAACTGGCTGTTTAGTTCATTAACTGTGGGTTAAAGGTAGACATTTTCCTAAAATGTATGTTTAGTAGTAAAACTTTTGATCTATACTTTGAAATATGACTGCCTTATATTTCAAAACTTTGAAAAAAAACACTTTAACCTATTACAAGGAGAGAGGGCATTTTTATAACAGCAAAGTCAGAACTTCCCCATCACCCAGGTAATTTAAATTTATCCTAGGCACATAAATATAGCTCAAAACAACCTCAACAAAAACAGCCAAAACGTTTACTGTTCCCTTCCCTGTCACTCTTGTGTCCTAACAACTAAACCTGAACAAGAGGAGGGAATGAAAAAGATTATGATCTCATAGTCCCAGAATTTCCCATTTCTCCCAAACTTAAAAGCCAACGGTAGCCATAAAAAAGTGATAAAGTGAGGGGGTTCTATGTGAAGTTAAAGATAAAACTGAATGATAGATAGGAAAAATAAACTGAAAAGTTCAACAATGTTTAAAATGAAATCGGCTTACTACATTAAGGACAGACTTAAAAATGTTTAATATCATTTTAGCTTCATTCTTACGAAACAACCAAGTTAAAACAAAGGCTCATTATATTTTTCCCTATCAAACTCCTGACCATAGTTGACTCCAAATGAACTATGACTTCATTTCTAGTATCCAAATAATAATCTAAGCACAGTTCAGATAAGAAATAATTTACTTACATTGGCATAACAGTAGACTTCCCAATACTTTATATTTATATTTGAAGAACCATTTTAAAGTAACCTATTAAGAATTTAAAAAAACTTATGTCACATTTTCAATTCAACAAGTCTGTGAGTTAGTTTGCTTTTTGGTTTGTTTGTTGGTTTTGAGGTGGAGGTAGGGATTAAAACCAAAATACATTTCCAGGGCTGACAATAGTATTGCATTACACAAGTCAAGCTTCAAATTCCAAATTTGCTTTTTTCAGCTGTGCCTTCATTTTGTTAACAAAAATGGCCTCCTGTATGTTTCAGTCATGTTCATTTATAACACATTCAACATGAGAGGAATGACAATTTTCCACAAGTTCAGCTGTGGTGGGGGTGGGGTGGGCATCACATACAGAACACTGTCCCATGGGGTAAGAGTTAAGTTTCTCATCTCACCAGCACTTTGTCTCAATGCCACCTCCCCCAACACAGTAGAATTTCATTCATAATTTGGATTTTTAAACCAGAATGTTGTTATGGTTAATCCAAAATAACCCGCAGAGCTTGCTAAAGTTATACTGATAAACAGCTTTTTACTGAAGGACTGAATTAAATAGAAGGCACAGTAGCACTGTAAAGCTTTTTCAGATCGTAATAATCTTTTTGTATGTATATATGGAGCCCAGACTTTCTTTTTTTTTGTTAAAAATGTCTGATGAACAATCAGAAAATCCTTATTTGTCCTCTTTCCCTTTAGTTTTTCTGTATACCATCTCTCGAAAACTGGCCAGAATCTTGTTTTCTCTCTTTCGTCTCTCTTCTTGGTTAAAGGATGCAAGAGCTCTCTTCTCATCAGCACTATAGATCTGGTTCTCTTTTCGCAGTCGCACAGCCTCCATTCGGCGATGCCTGGAGATAATTTTATTTTTGGCTTAATTTCTCAGTAATCATTCTCATAGTACTTCCTCACTAATCCTTTCTTAATACAGAGTGGTCTATTTAAAACACTGACAAATAGAAACTGTTTCTGTAATGGGTTAGATTTTCAAAACAGCATTCATTTTATCTGCTGACATGTCCTTTGATTCATTTCTACTATTCAAATAATGATCTCTGAGGTTCTGTCAATATAGTGAATGTTATTTATTTCAACTACCAAAGACCTAAGTCTAGTTCTGTTGTTTTCAGTAAAACAATGAGAAACAAGCAAATTATTAAACTTCCTAAGTGATGTGTAGAATTGATAGTAGGACAGATAAGATTTAAGTTGTCATCAAGCAGGAGGAACTTCTTCAAGGTTCTAATTTACCATACAACCAAAAGAACCAAGTTCAAATTTACAGTTGAAGTTTTGGGTGAGTTTTGTGGATGGATTTAAATTCCTTAGAATCCAGCAGCAGCTCAAAGAAAAGAAAGAAGGGATTTAGCACAAGGGCCAAATTAGGAAAGTATAGGGGCTGAGGCAGAGGGAAACTCTTACATCATCTTCAAAAGGTCTGTTTATTTAGAAGGAAAACTTCATGAAAACCTGCCTTTTTTATGTATGTGTACCCAATCCTACACAATAAATTGAAGACGAAACTTGAACTATGTCTAGAAAACAGCAAACTGAGTGAGAAGAGAGGGGAATCATTTCTGTTCAGGGTGAAGGTGGGGCAGGATGGACAGCCAAGGAGACGACAATGTATTTAGGTTGCTCAGGGTACAGTGAGTAGATTATCTGAAACAGAAAGTGCTATGTGAACGATGCTGTAATAAACATCAATGTACACATCTCCTAGTAGTTGGGAAAGATTCTCTTGGGTATGTAGCTGTGGAGTTGCTGGGTCGTAAAGTAAGTGAATGTTTAACCTTCCAAGAAACTGTCAGACTGTTTTCCAAAGTGGTTGTACCAATTTACACTATCATGAACAATACTTAAGAGATCCTGGAGACCCACATCCTCTCAAATGCTTGGTATTGTCAGAACTTTGAACTTTTGTCTATCAAGTGGGTGTAAAATGGTATTTCTGTATGTTTTTGATTTCCATTTCCAATGATAATGAACATCTTTTTATGTATGCATAGGCCACATATTTTTTTCTTCTGAAAAATGACTGTGTCATTTCCCCACTTTTCTTTTGGGTTATTTATAGGTATTCTCTAAATACTCTCAATACTAACTCTTTATCAATTGTATGTATAACAAGATCTTACCCCAGCCTGGAACTTGTCTTTTTATTTATTTTAAGATGTCTTTTGATGAACAAAAGTTCTTACTTTTAACCCAGACAAATTTATCAACATATTATTTTATGGTTAGTGCATTTTTTTGGTCTTCTTTAAGAAATACTTCCTCACCTCAAGATCTAATAGATATCTGCTCATATTTTATACTAAGAGTATTAAAGTTGGTTTTGAAGTTTAAGTCCTTAATCGAGGTGCACTGCTTTTTAAATATGGTGATACAGGGTTCTACTGTCATCTTTTTCCATATGGATAACTATTTTCTTCCTGCTGCATTTACTGCTTAGTTCCTTCTTTGCCCACTGATCTGACATATTATCTCTTCCATAAAACAAACTTCCATACATGTATGGCTCTGCTCCTGTGTTCTGTATTTTACTTCATTGAACAATTCATTTGTTCCCCCACTCTTAAGTGCTGCAAGCTTCATAATAAGCCCTCATATCTGGTAGGGCAAATCTCACCTTCCTGCTCTTCTTCAGAAGTAAGATGGCTTTTCTTGGCCCTCTAGTCTAACATATAAATTTTAGAACTATCTTATTAAGTTTCATGGAAACCTCTGTTGTGATTTTGATGGAACTGCCCTGAATCTACAGATAATTTGGGAAGAACTGATGACTTTACAATATTGCCTTCCTATTCTTGTCATGGTATCTCTCCATTTATTTAGGTCTTCTTTAATGTCTCTTAATAATGTTTTATAGTTTTTCCTGTAAAGGTCTTGGACATCTTTGTTAAGACTTATTCCTAAATCCTTCATATTCTCTGATACTGTTATAAATATTTTCTTATAACCCTAAAGACTCCACATAAAAACTACTAGAAGGGATAAACAAATTCAGCAAGGTAGCAGGATACAAGATTAACTTACAGAAATCTGTTGCATTTCTTTACACTAACAATGAAATATCAGGAAGAGAAAGTAAAATAAAAAAATCCTTTTTAAAATTGAATAAAAATTACTTAGGAATAAACCTGACCAACGAGGTGACTTATACACTGAGAACTATAAAACATTGATAAAGGAAAATGAAAATGATTCAAAGAAATGGAAAAATATCCCATGTTTTTGGATTGAAAGAATTAACTATTATTAAAATGGCCACATACCCAAAGCAATCTACAGATTTAATGCAATCCCTATCAAATTACCTAGGACATTTTTCATGTAACTAGAACAAATAATCCTAAAATTTATATGGAACCACAAAAGACCCAGAATTGCCAAAGCAATCCTGAGGAAAAAGAACAAAGCTGGAGGCATAACCCCACCAGACTTCAGATAATACTACAAAGCTACAGTAATCAAAACAGCGTGGTATTGGCACAAAAACAGATGTATGGATCAACAGAACAGAACAGAGAGCCCAGAAATAAACCCATATACACCTAAGCTCAATTAATCTTCAACAAAGGAGGCAAGAATATACAATGGAGAAAAGACAGTCTTCAGCAAGTAGTGTTGGGAAGCCTGGACAACTGCATGTAAATCAATGAAGTTAGAACACTCCCTTACACCATACACAAAAATAAACTCAAAATGGCTTAAAGAGTTAAATATAAGACATGACACCATAAAGCGCCTAGAAGAGATCATAGGCAAAACATTCTCCGACATAAATCATAGCAATGTTTTCCTAGGTCAGTCTCCCAAGGCAACAAAAATAAAAGCAAAAATAAACAAATGGGGTCTAGCCACATATAAGCTTTTGCACAGCAAAGGAAACCATCAACAAAACAAAAAGACAACCTACAGAATGGGAAAAAATACTGGCAAGTGATGCAACTGACAAGGGCTTAATTTCCAAAATATACAAACAACTTATACAACTCAGTAACAAAAAAACAACCCAATCAAAAAATGGACAGAAGATCTAAATAGACATTTCTCCAAAGAAGACATACATAAGGCCATTAGGCACATGAAAAGATGCTTAACATTGCTAATTATTAGAGAAATGCAAATCAAAACTACAATGAGGTATCACCTCAAACCGGTTGGAATGGCTATCATTAAAAAGTCTACAAATAGTGAATGCTGGAGAGGGTGTGGAGAAAAGGGAACCCTCCTACACTGTTGGTGGGAATGTAAACTGTTGTAGCCACTAAGGAAAACAGTATGGAGGTTCCTTAAAAAACTGAAAAAAATGTTACTATATGATCCAGCAATCCCACTCCTAAGCATATATCCAGGGAAAACTCTAATTCAAAAAGATACATGCACCCCAATGTTTACAGCAGCACTATTTACAATAGCCAAGACATGGAAGCAACCCAAATGTCCATCGACATGGATAAAAAAGATGTGGTATATATATATATCACATATATACACACAATAGAATATTACTCAGCCATGAAAAAGAATGAAATAATGCCATTTGTAGCAACATGGATGGATGTAGAGATGATCATACTAAGTGAAGTCAAAAAGAGAAAGACAAATATCGTATGCTATCACTTATATGTGGACTCTAAAAAATGATGCAAATAAACTTATTTACAAAACAGAAACAGACTCACACACATAGAAAACAAACTTACGGTTACCAAAGAGAAAAGTGGGGGTGGGGATAAATTAGGAGTTTGGGATTAGCAGATACAAATTATTATATATAAAATAGATATACAAGGTCCTACTATATAGCATAGGGAACTATATTGAGTATCTTGTATGACCTATAATGGAAAAGAATCTGAAAAAGAATATACATATATATATAATATATATATATGTGTATATATAATATACACATAACTGAATCACTTTGTTATACATCAGAAACAACACTGTAAACCAACTATACTGCAATGAAAAATAAAAATATGTTTTCTTTTTATTTAATTACATTTTCTAGTTTTCTGTTGCTGTTACATAGAAATGCAATTGATTTTTGTGTATTAACCTATATCCAACCATTTGTTAAAACTTCCTATTATTTATAATTCATCTGAAGAGTCTTTAGGATTTTCTATGTTAACAAATTGTATCATTCAAACAAAACAAACCAAAAATTGTATCATTCACAAAAAATGACAGTGTTATATCCTCCTTTCCAATCCTCATGCTTCTTAATTTCTTTTTCTTGTCTTACTGGTGCTTAGATATATATACTGTTTTCAAATGTCAGTCCTCTGGAATCCAAGATTCTGGAGGTGCTTCAAGGGTTCTGCAAATATTTGCCTCCAATTTCATGTAAAAATGTTTACCTACTTTTATAAGTTTACGAAGTTCAAAAAAATCCAAAATTCAGTTTGATCTTGGTACTGATACCCAATTAATTCCCTCTGTTCCTCCTGGTACTTCGCTTTCTCTTCCCTAATTTTATATGCCTTTCCTCATGCTGAACCTGATCTCTGTCATAATCCTTTCCGCTCTCCATTCTCAAGAGTCCAGAGAACTAGAGAGTCCATGTTCTCTGACTCTACAGAGAACTGGGAGTAAACTCAGAAAACAGGAAACACTGTCTTATGAAATACTGTCTTAAGAAAATGCTTTCCTAACTACCAGAATGCCATATTCCTCATGTGGCAGTGACAAGTAACCAAATTTAACTACATCCTCCAGAGGGTAAACTATCTGTACCAAAATATGAACTAGAAAAGGACACTGGAAAGACTGATTCTTTGAAGTTGGAGGTATAGTTGAGTTGCATACTTACATGGAATTTTAGACAACCACATTTATACCAATAAAACCAACATTAAACCAATATTTATACTCTACTTTTCATTAGAAATGGTCACGTAATGAAAATCAGTTACCAAAATATAATTTTGGTAGTGAGAAAGGAAAAGATCTAATCATGGAAAATGACCTCAATGCCAAGAACATACCTGCTACCACTCATTACGTAACCCGAGCACTCAAATGATGCAATTTCTTCACTTGTCAAGCCAATTTCACCTCTTCGTGGGATACGTTTTCCAGCTTTTACGTATTCAGCCATAGCTGCACCTTCACCAGGTAACAGAGCATGGCCATAGCTACAAGGTAATTCAGAATTCAGAAAAGGTTTATTATAAAAAGCTCACCATCTAAAGAGCACAAAGAAACACATTTGCTCTCATAAAACAGTAGGAATAAGAGTTGCTGGGTGGCAGCATGCTGGGAAGCCCAATGTGAATTCATTTTTAATTTAATTAGTGAACACTACACTGTGACCTATATCCCTAGGCCAGAAATGCAGAGATATTTGGAAGAATAACAGAACTGATGTTAGTATGCATATATTCACTGTTTACAATTACAGATCAACTTTCCCTACAGGTATTGCCTTTATTGCTTGTGCTTCCAGAGAATTTCATTTCCCTTTTTCCATTTAAAAAAAAGTAAAGAGATAATATATCTCAAATTAACATATTTTTTAGACTTACAACCAATAACAATGCTATACAGTAACAGTTATCTATTAACTTTCATTCAAGGGGAATTTAAAAACTACAATCCCTTCATTCAATTCATTGAATGCTTCTTGAATACCTATTAAACTCAAAGCTTATAATACAAAAATAATCTCTGTTCTCGTAGAATTTATATATGAATAAGGATATAACACGAATACAATGCACAATATATAATACATTGCACAAAAGAAATAGAACACTGCTGGGAGGACTAAAGGATTAAAGAGAGAAAGAGAGGTAGGAATCACATCTACCTGTGAAGGGAAGGTACTGGGAATCAGCACACGCCCTCCTCCTCTTGAAAAGGGCTTTGAAGAATGTCAAGGACTTTAACAGGAAGAAAGTGGGGGTAGTGAAGAAACCAGGGCTGGGAAAGGAAGGGAAGGCAGGTTGGGGGAAGCAGTAAGGTGAACAAGGCACAAAGTGGGAAAGTACACAGTAAATACAGGGAAGTTTCAGTTCAGCTCAGTTGGAACCTGGGGTCTAAATAAGGGAGTAGAGGGAGATAAGCCTGGAAAGGTAAGTTAGGACCAGACTTTTGGGAAGATACTTTAGACACTGTAAATATACTGTTACTTACTTCAAAGGTTTATCATCTTGAGAAGCAAGTGTTTTAGGAGCCTCTGGGCCAATCAAATCTGAGGGTTCTTCAGGCTCTGCATGAAAAGATGTTCAGAAACATATTCACATTTTAACTAATCAGTTAATGTTTTATTTATTCTGAGTCAAAGTCTATCAGAAGAACCTACTTGATCGATCCTTCCAAGGATTCTCCAGAAACTCTTCTTGGGACTCTTTAGAACTTGAATCACTGGAATCTTTTCTGCTCTTCTTTGATTTCTTTTTCTTGTATTTCTTCCTGTAATGATATAATTTGATACAAATTGATTTAATATTCCCATGCTAAAGGGAATCTTATTTTTTCAAGGCAATGAAAGACCGATTATAATGATTTGGATGCTCAGCTTATTCAAACTTGTTAGAGAAGAATTTTAATTAAAAAATCTAACTTATTTAACCAAATCATGTTTCACTATTATAAAAAGATCCCTAAAGGGAACAATAAAATACAGTTCTCATGGTGTAGAGATAATAGAAATAAAGCAGTTAAAAAAATCTCTTACCAATTTGAGCATCAATAATTTTAAGTGTGATGGATTAAAATACATCAAATATGTTTGAATCCTTGGTTTCATAATGATACTAAAAAATCTAATTCATTATTTTGAAAACTGATAAAACAAAAACAGTTAAGATATTCTGCCCTTCCTATACCAACTGTACTTCAGGGTAACCAAATAGTTAATGAGGGTAGGTTTCACAATTATTCTACCAATTAAATGAAAAAAGTCAGAATTAAACTATCACCATTGTGCAATCCCTAATGAAATAAGGAACCTAGGCAATGACTACTGATGGCCGTCAATATGACAAAAAGAGACAACCAGACGTTACCTGCCTCCTGATGGAAGTACACAGCAACACCTATGACGTATTCCCACCAAAAGCTCAAATCTGAACCTTATCAAATGTCTAGACCTAACTATCAATCTACAGGAAATATAAAGGACAGAAAATATGTTAAAAGGACACTATAAGAATACAACCAGCAAAATCCATATTGCAGGAGATTCCAAAGGACAAATAATTTGGTTTCTTTAACAAATAAACTGCAGGAATAAAAAGGAGGGGAAACCTATCAATTTAAAGAGATTTAAGACATGTTATCAACCAATCACAATTTATGGATATTCTTTGGATCCTAATTTGAATAAACTGTACCAAAAACTGCTGAGAATTGAGAAATTACTGTTAAATATTTTAGGCGTGATAACAGTATTGTGGTTATTTTTCTTTTTTAAAGAATGCCTATCTTTCAGAGAAACTTGCTGCTTTATGGATGAAAGGGTATCTGGGATTGGTTTCAAAATAATAGGGGAGGGAACAGAGACTGCCCCAGAGTTGATGATTGTTCAAGCTGGGTGATAGTTACATGGAGGTCCGTTATACTATTTTATATAATTTTATATATATTTGAACTTTTCCATAATGAAAATTAAAGAAAAAAACTGACGATCTGTGTTTCTTCTTTTTTTCCTTTTTCTTGGCTTTCTTTGCTCTCCTTTTTGTATCTTCATCTGCAAATAAAAGCACATTATAATTTAAAAAAATTTTAACTCTAAAACCCCAATACTTTTGAGTAGTTAACTATCTTATTACTCTTCTATTTGTTGTTATAGAACAATTAATTCATTCAAATATCTATTGCTACTGGTCAGGAAATGTGCTAGTCACCAGGGACACAAAAATTAAAGCTGCACTAAGCATTTGGTAATATAAGGTATTATTATTAATTTTATTGCATGAGATAATAGTATATTTTGATTAGATAGGAAAAGGTCCTTATTTTTTAGAGTTGTATACAAAAATATTTAGGGTGGCAGTGTGATAATTGTAATTAACCTTGAATATCTTAACCAAATAAATGCTTGAAGCAAATATGTCAAAATACTAATAATTGTTAAAATTAAGATGATACATATATGGTATTATATGATTCCCTTTACTTTTCTGAATGTGAGAGTATTTTCCTGCTGTGTATTGCGGGGGATGCTTTCCAGGAGCTCAGTCTAATGGAGGAGACAGAGATAAAGAGGTAAACAGCATCCAGTGACAGAAGGACGTGGGTGTTCTGGGAGCACAGAGGAATCTCAAAATCAGGCTGATTTGGGGAGGGTGGTTGAGGAAAGGTTGACCAGGAAAAGGTGACTCTTAAGCTCATTCTTTTAAAATCAGTTTTTTTACAAAAATTCGGCATGCCACTGTTAAGATGAGTAAGCCAAGTCACAGGCAAGGAGAGACTGGCCTTGCAGGCAGACAGACTCTCCGTACTAAGTAAGAGAGTCAAGAGAAAGGACGTGAGATATGGAGGAGACAGAAAGTCATCCTCAGGCCACAGAGGATGCTGCACGAGAGCGCGGGGTCTGTGTGATGAGAGAGCTCAACCAGGGTCTGAACTTCACCCTGAAGGCCACGGAGAGCTACTGAAGGATTCTAAGTAGGGACCAACATGTTCAGATTTGTGCTTCAAGAAAGCTCAGCCTTCCAGCAGTGAGGAAGAAAAGTGACAATCGTGGCCAGGAAACCCAGGTGACATCAGAGGAAGGGGTGCCTCTGTGTAATGTGTCCCCAGGAGACATCCTCTATCAATCATCAGCTGGGAGAGGGCACAAAAAGGTGGTTTTCTTGGGACACATTGGTCCCCAGGGGGTGTCTTCCATAAATCAGCTGCCAGCCTGACGGCTCCTCTGTGGTGCAGCTTTCTGAAAATTGCACAAAGTGCAATTGCCCACTGACTGTGAGAATCACACAAAAGAGCCACTCCACTGGGCTGATGCAGCCCCTATGACTTGGTTTGGCACCACACGCCTTGTACAGCTATACACAACCAATCTGGAGCCGCAGCACCTAGGTCTGAATCCCAACTGGGTGACCCTGGGTGCAGTATTTACAACCTGCTCCGAGCCTCCCTTTCCGCATCTCTAAGAGGTGAACTACAGTTACTGTGTGGATTAAATAGCAATAGTGCATATCAAGCACTTAGCAGGGAGCCCCACACAAAGTCGGGAGTGTTCAAAACTCTTGGCTATTATTGTTTTTAAGAACCTTCCTCTAAAATGAGCCTTGAAGAAGTAAAAATAGTTTTGAAGCAAGGCGCGCAGAACGATGTTGGCTTCCTTACCACTGGAGTCTGTTTCAGAATCAGAGTCACTGTCACTATCGTCAGAATACTTCCTGTGTTTTCTTTTAGATGATTTTTTCTTCCTCCTTTTCTTGGACCTTTCTTTTGAATGACTAGACTTCTTCTTCTTCTTCTTGTCGTCTACATAAAATATGAAAAAACAACTTCTAAAGAAGTATTTCTGAGCATCAATTTTATTGTATTTGAAATACTGGAAAGGAACTGATGATGGCAATTTGAGTAAAGTCTAATGTTCAACTATTTACAAACTTCTTAAACTCCTCAATAAAAAATTTCCATATTTAAAAAATACCTTCTGAAGTAGAAGCCGAAGTGGTGCTTTTCTTTGGCTCTTCATCCTCTACTGGTGTATGTTCATCAGAGCTGAGTTTAAAGAAAATGGTTGTGAGAATCAGAAAAGTGATAAAATACGGACCATGGAGTATAAAAATACAGACTTAAAACTTTTCAGTAACAAACTGATTGTCCAAGAACCATTAAGAGCCAGCACCAGACTGCTTTTGTAACAGTACCATTTAAGGGTCTACCACCTTCATAACAACATAATAATCATTTTTATTTGCATAATGCTTTAGAGTTTACAAAGTGCTATTCACACTGAAAGCAGGATGTAAGATTTATATTTTCAGAAGAAACCATAGGGAAAATGCAGGGAAACAGGAATCATAAGGAAAGATGAAAGAAACTGGAGATAAGAAGGCTGAGGGAAGACTTGGTGATTTTACTCTTTATGTGGAACAGGCATATGGTAGAGCAGCAACTGTTCTGTCTCCCCAGAGCAAGAACCTAACACACTACAGTGTAAAGGGATTTCATTCTGTTGTAGAGAATACTGAAAGTGAGTATTATTAACATGCTACAATAGTTTGGAAAGGGAATTCCTATATCATATAATCTTTTCGAAGATCACATCTGGAATAATTTAGGTACTGCCTAGAAAACTTTTAGGATTCCTTCCAACTCTAATTCTTTGAGTTCAGATTCTTCGGGCACTTTCCAAAGGTATCTGTAAGAACAAGTTTCAGTATCTCAACATACTAAAGACAACCTATAACAAGTCCACAGTTCACATCATACTCAATGATGAAAAGCGAAAAAGACAAGGATGCCCACTCTCACCACTTTTATTCAACATAGTACTGTAAGTCCTAGTCAGAGCAACTAGGCAAGAATAAGAAATAAAAGGCATCCAAATTGGAAAGGAAGAAGTAAAACTGTTATTGTTTTCAGATGACATATTATATATAGGAAATCCTAAAAACTATAACAAAAAAACTAATAACGTAGCACTAATAAATTCAGTAAAGTTGTAGGATACAAAATCAATAGAGAAATTCATTCCACTTCTATATACTAACGAATTGTCAGAAAAAGAAACCAAAAGGAATAAAATAACCTAGGAATAAATTTAACCAAGGATATGGACGACCTATACACTGAAAACCATAAGACACTGATGAAAGAAACTGAAGACACAAATAAATGGAAAGATTTTCCATGCTGATGGATTGGAAGAATTAATATTGTTAAAATGTCCATACTACCCAAACCAATCTTCAGATTCAATGCAATTTCTATCAAAATTCCAATGGTATTTTTCACAGAAATAGAACAAATAGTCCTAAAATTCATATGGAACCACAAAAGACTCCAAATAGCCAAAACAATCTTGAGTAAGAAAAACAAAGCTGGAGGCATCATGCTCCTTGATTTCAAACTATACTACAAAGTTACAGTAATCAAAACAGTATGGCATTGGCATAAAAAAGACATATAGATGAATGGACCAAACAGAGAGCTCAGAAATAAATACATGCATATATGGTCAATTATTTTATGACAAAGGAGCCAAGAATATACAATAAAGAAAGGACAGTCTCTTCAAAAAAAAATCATGCTGGGAAAACTGGACAGTCACATGCAAAAGAATGAAATGGACCATTGTCTTATACCATTACACAAAAATTAACTCAAACTGGATTAACAACTTGAATGCAAGACTGGGAAGGTAAAGTCTAGGTGGTAAGCTCCTTGATATAGGTCTTGGCAATGATTTTTTGGATTTGACACCAAAAGTAAAGGTAACAAAAGCAAAAATTAATAAAGTGGGACTACATTAAACTAAAAAGCTTCTGCAAAAAAGCTCCTATATACAGCACAGGGAACTATATTCAGTACTTTGTAATAACCTATAATGGAAAAGAATCTGAAAAAGAATATATGTATCACTTTGTTTTACACCTGAAACTAACACACATTGTAAATCAACTATACTTCAATTAAGAAATAAAACAAAAACAAAAATTAAAAATAAAAAGCTCCTACATAGCAAAGGAAACCATCAACAAAATGAAAAGGTAACCTACCGAATGGGTGCAAATATTTGCAATTCATATCTGCTAAGGGGTTAATATTCAAAATATATAAACAACTCAATAGCGAAAAAATAGGCAATCTGATTAAAAAATTAGCAAAGGATCTGAGTAGACATTTTTCCAAAGAAGACATACAGATGGCCAACAGATACATGAAAAGATGTTCAACATCACTAATCATCAGGGAAATGCAAATCAAAACCATAATGAGCTATCACTTCACACCTGTTAGGATGACTTATCAAAAGACAAGTGATAACAAGTGGTGAGGATGTGGAGAAAAGAGAACACTTGTATACTGTTGGTGGGAATATAAATTAGTACAGTCACTATTGAGACCAATATGGAGATTCTTCAAAAAATTAAATTTGAACTACCAAATGATCCAAGAATCCCACTTCTGGGTATATATCTGAAGGAAACGAAATCAGTATCTCAAAGAGATTTCTGCACTCCCATGTTCATTGCAGCATTATTTACAATAGCCAAGATATAGATAAAACCGAACATTCATGAATGCATGAATGGATAAAGAAACTGTAAGAAATACACACACACACACACAACACAGACCACAGTGGAATACTATTCATCCTTAAAAAAGAATGAAAGGGGAGGGTATAGCTCAAGTGGTAGAGCACATGTTTAGCATGCATGAGATCCTGGGTTCAATCCTCAGTAACTTCTCTAAAAATAAATAAATAAGTATACCTAACTAACCCTCCCCCCCAAAAAAGAATGAACCTTACCATTTTCGACAACATGGATGGACTTTGAGGGCATTTATTAAATGAAATAAGCCAGAGAGAAAGACAAATACCAATGGTTTCATCTATTTGTGAAATATAAGGGGGGGGGG